AGTAGGTAAATATATAAAAAGTAGTTATAGTAGGGTAGGGTGGGGTAATTTGAACATGTGGGGCAATTTGAACATAGTGTGAAAAACACAAAATCACGGAAAATCCATAAGTGGCATGATAATAAGACCAATGAGGGAAATTATCGTAACTAAAAGGGCTATCATATGAACGGGGTTTAAAGTTTCATGGAATGAAGATGTTGACGCACACTGTAAAAAATCAATTTCGCAAGTAAAAACGCCTAAAAACACGTCGTTGCAACTTCATTGAAGCGCAAAATCTTGCATTGCTAGCGCCTAATATGCAAGGGCTTTTGTTCTACAATGACCTAATCAGTGCCTTCAATCCAAGAAATTTGCTTTTGAAACCTGTTTTTAAATATGGCAAAATAACTTGTATTGTGGGGTAATTTGAACATATGTAGTGTGAGAATTTCAATGAAGAGAGGGATAGCTCCGAAAAAACAACGCTCCCAGTTTTTTTTTGCCAATATTTTCGACCCAAAGCAGTAGCAGATTAGTGATGCCAGTTTTATAAAATTTACGTCTAATGTCCGTCTAATGTCCGGCATTTTCGTTGATTTCCGTTCAAAAATGTTAAAGTCAGCTATTTGTCCAAATATATCCGAAAATTACGCATTAATCATCACTCAAAACTGTCATTTAAATTGCTTATAATGTAATTTTACCAGCCGAAAAGTGTTCATTATATAGAGAGCTTAACAAGCTTTCCATTCGCCAATAAATACTATGCACGATTACTTCATAAAAAGCGCTGAAGTGTAGCAAGCCATCGTCCAATGTTGTCCAGTCTGCTACCTTTGTCCAACCAATTCCGAATTGGACATTGGACAAAATCAGAACTCCAAATGTCCAGGTTTCGATTGGCACCACTAAAAAAGATGCAGTAAGGTTGGGAGAGTTTTTATCGAACAAAAATGATAGACGTTCTGTTAATTGGAGAGGCGAATTCTGTCAACTGACCGGTGTGCAGCGTGCAGATATTGATACTCTGCAACTGTTATTTTTGTTGTTGTGTTGATTTTTCAAGTGAATGTATGTTTAGAATTGTTCTGCCTATTTGTTTATGGGTCAAACAACATCGGCGCTGGCGAGACTATCGTTTTTATGACAGGTAAAGGCAGTATGTTCAAATTACCCCACGGTGGGGCAAATTGAACACACCGTGACTTGGTGGAGAAGTGAAGCTATGCTATTCAAGGTATGCTCGGCTCGTCCAAAGATGAGGCTTGCATGGTGAAAGCAAGTGACACTTGCGCTACTGAAGCAGTTTTTCTTCATTCAGGGTTGAGCTGGAATTTGGTACAACGGAGAAGATGTAAAAATATGTTCAAATTACCCCACACTACCCTAGTTAGTGCGCCTCCTTGCAAGCTGAGCTGAGAGCGCCTCTGTCCCGACTCCCAAGTGTGTACCGAGAGCAGTGGGCGTCACAAGTGTTCACCCTCAATTGGGGACAGGCCTAAAGGAACAGGTCGACGCCAGCTGAACAGACAGGTGCCCAACATGATGGCGGCCGAGAGACACACTTGGCCTTGGGTATGTCCGTCCGTCCGTCTGTCTGTCTGTCTGTCTGTCTGTCTGTCTGTCTGTCTGTCTGTCTGTCTGTCTGTCTGTCTGTCTGTCTGTCTGTCTGTCTGTCTGTCTGTCTGTCTGTCTGTCTGTCTGTCTGTCCGTCTATCCGTCCGTCCGTCCGTCCGTCTATCCGTCCGTCCGTCTGTCCGTCCGTCCGTCCGTCTGTCTGTCTGTCTGTCTGTCTGTCTGTCTGTCTGTCTGTCTGAAAACGTTGACCGGAAATTGAATTCACGTATCCCGCCTAGATACAGACGTATAAACCCTTATCAACATGATTGGAATATTTGAAGAACACACAGACTATTTTCTGTCCGATGAAATTTTACATTTACATTAAATAAATAGTTTTTACCGTCTTTATTTTTATTCACGAGTTTTAACAGCTTTCTTTGCTACTTATCTCACAGCTTATTACAGAACGTATGGATGCTGCAAATGTCAAAGGTTTTATCCGATCAAGGTTCAAGTCGTGACCTTAATGTTATCTGCTTCGTCCAGTGGCGGTGGAACACCTTCAATTAGGGGGGGGGGGACACTGCCGACTTTTGGTCCCATTCTTTCCATGCAACGCCCATAGGGCTAATGTTAAAATGCCAAAATCAAAGGGGGTGCACGGTGCCCCGGTGCTCCCCCCCCCCCCCCCAGTCCGCCGCCTATGGCGTCGTCACGGCCCAGCATCCCAGTAAGCCGCGCCACACTGTGTTTGTTGGGCGTACACTGTACAGTTGTTGCGAATGGTGTTGCAATCCAGCTTTACCGTCCAAACAAGCGCAATAGATATGCCGCGCGGCCCAAGGCCAGCATTGTCCGCGACCTGCGGTACTCAGGCTAGGTGGTCTGTTCTGTCGATGTGGGGGCTCTGAGACGGGCAGCCCGAGCGGCCCGGCCAGCGCCTTTGTTTAACCGGCTCAGTCGGCATAAAGCGACCGCCGCCGGCCATACACATTTGACATTACATAATGCTGCAGGTACTGGTTCAGCACGAATGTCCAGGCTCGACTGTCTGTCACTGAGCACGAGACCCTGACTCCCGTGCTGCACGAAATGACCTCCCGAGCTGCTGTTCCTGACATCGTCACTGCAACTCGGGCCACGGGCCCACGGCGGTAACTCGATCGGGAAATTTGTGAGATGCACCATGTTCTGAGATTTGAGACGCCTTTTCTATTAAGAGGCTCTGCTAGTTGCTACACAACTCCAGCGTTGAAGCCCAGCTGAAATTGCTGGGCTCCAGTAACGGGAGGGGGGGGGGAGGGCTGCATCGACGACAATCTGTCAACTTCAACGCTGGAGTTGGATCGGCTACATTCAAAGTTTAGATTGGCCATATGAAACGGTACATTCAAGCCGAAATCTTCACTTGACAACTTCCAAATAGCTCTGCCGTCCGTGGACAGCTTTTTATGCAACGTAGCTAGCTGAACTCCTCCGAGGTTTACGACTAGAGGTGGCAAAATGTGGACCCGAGGACCCGGTCCAAAGAACCAGTCTGGACCCATATGGGTCCAGACCGGTTCCTGGAAATTTTCTGACGGGTCCAACCGGGTCCTACCATAAACTATACATCTTGCACACTACACATTATTGCAAAATATGAAGTGAATTAAGTGAATGTTTCTTTGCACACAGTAGCTCATGAGTATTCCCAATTGGAAATAGGCTGTTTTACATGATGCAACAGCCAACTAATGATACCTACAAGTAGTTTGTATTAATTGACTTTTGGGGAACGGGTCCAACTGGTTCCGATTCCAACTAAGACCGGGTCCGACTGGTTCCAGAAATGTCCAACCGGGTCTGGTTCGAGTCTGGTTCCCAAAATTTCCATCTTTTGCCACCTCTATTTACGACGGCAGACTCCCGACTGCGTGCCTCCGCGGACATCCACCCTTGCCAAGGTCATCACAGCGAGCGACCGTCCTAGGCCCTGGTCCGGCGGACAGGTATTGTATGCTGTGTGTGGTCCCTGCGAGTTGCGACCTTCCCCAACCTTCAAAAGAGAGTGGGACGGGCTTTTTTTTATAACGACAGCACGGGTCCAGTCTGCGTTGGTGCTGGATTACGCGGTGACTGTAACGAATGGTGTTAGTCGAAGCCGTCCTCAGGCTCACAATGATCCGGCTATTTCATATGTTATAGCTAGAGGCAAGGGAGCATAACGAATACCAGGATACATTTTCATTTAAAGCGAAATGTGCACGTTTTCCACCGAGCACAAACGGAATCCGCACCTTTACTGTTTACATAACAACTAAGCTGCCTTCCCCGATCGCCCTTCTATGTAGATCCACCGGTAGTAAGTAACCCAGTGCAGCCCCCGAGCCCTGAGGCCCGGGGCATACGTGCCTGACCTGTTCGCACAGCTGGCCAAGGTCAAAGAGGTCAACGCCGCGCGTGGCCAGCCTACAGGTGCCGCTGGCTGCCCCGCCCCGCCCTCCCCGCCCCGCTGTTCACCCAAGGGGGGGGGGGACGGTCTGTAGGTAAGTCGACCAGTCTTTTTTCGCACTACGGGGTCACAAAAAAAACTGACATGCATGGTGACAATAGGAAGCACACGTACACACGGCAGATCCACAGATGAGACATATGCCGTACAACCGTCTATCTCGGGAACAGCCACTAACGAGGGTTGGGAACACAGCAGTAGTGCAGCGGTAGGCCTAATCAATACTACCTATGTCAAAAAAGACAGTCAGACGGTTCGCTTCACGCGGGCACTGAGTCGCGAGAACGGTTATAATCATTATGTCATATTACCTCCTGTTTATTTTATTTTATATTTTTACTTGTGTCCCCTAGGCTAGCGTGACTGTCGCCACTTAATCAGGGATCCGGGAATCAAGTAATGCAAGTCACCCTTCATTGAAAAAGGACTGCAACTAAACTATACTAATCAAAGGCCAAATCACGAGAGTTGTATACTGTACTGCAAGCGCCCACAACCTTGGCGTCTTGCAACCAATGGCTCAGATTGCAAAAAAAAAAAAAAACATGTCGCAGTAAAACTGATATGAATATGTCACGCAGCTTTTAGATGTGAATCTTGCACACGGTTGCGCTGTTTCATCCTTGCAGCATTCATATCAGAGATGCTTTTTAAGCCACGTGGTTCCCACTGTCTCCGTGATTATCTCTCCGTAAGGATGTTCATCTCGCCTTCAGATCGCATTCAGCATCCCCGACTGCTCCTTCCGTCCCTTCATAGTTCACCCTTCCCCTGCCCTCTGTTCCACTCTCTGCGCAGACCGGCTGGCGGGAAACCGTTCCTCTCAGACAGCTCCCCGATCACCCACCCTCCGCCTGCGGCGACCAGAGGTCACCGCCGGGGTCGCGGGCGGGCCTACCTCCCAGGAGCGGGACTGACCAATCACGGCGCTCCCTGCTCCACACAGCACACGACAGGCCGAGTTTGTTATAGTTTTATTGGCGCCCCGAGCATGGCACCACACACAGCGCCCATCCAAAAACGGAGCCAGTCGGCAGGCGAGGGGAAGGGAGGGGAGGAGTGGGGTGGGGCTCGGTAACGGTGGATTCGGCCATGGAAATGACATCACCGAACAGCTATAATGCCTAAATCGGAGGTTAATACGATCTCGGCTTCAGTTGTTATTGACTGCAATTGAGCCATCATGTCATGCATGTCATGGAAGGATTACATATGGTCTGGAAGTAAGCACCACATCTGCAGCTCAAACGAAAGCTCTCAGTTATCTAGTTCGGTACTATGACCCAGAATCAACATTTTAACATTGGCTCAGAAAACCGCTCTGAATGATCGCCAAATGAGGTTTTCAGGTACAGATCGAAGCGATACTATAGTAAGTCATTGATTGGGTAAATCCACTGGAAATCGTTAGCTCATACCTGTCATGCTACACACTAGGAATAATCATGGCATGCGTCGTACGTCTTTTTCAATGATAGCACCATTATCTTTCGTAACGAGTGTTGACAAACCGTCCCATCACCAAACTCGCCCCCCCCCCGCCATCCCCGCAATGCGTCCCCGTTACACCTGGGTGACGACGGCCAACACCAAACGAATGCAGCAGCCCTAGCCCAGACGGCACCAGGGATCCCGGCCAGCAGCTGACCGTATACGAAACACCCGCCGATGACGGCAAGAGAACAGGTCCGCTCGCGCGCGCGACACAACACACCCCAAAAAGGCGTCAAAAGACCCAGCGTGAAAGCAACAGTAGGCGCCCGCTGTGCGCGAAACGGAGCACCCCCGGCCCAACGCGGTCCGCGCGCGACATCCAGAAACAGCTCCAACAGACAACGGTCCCCAACGGCGGAGCACGTGCGGGCGAGCGACCGCGCGCGGCTGGCTTCTACGCTAGGAACGGCTGTGTCGCTAACACATTCTAAACACGGTCCGTACAGATCGGAGGGGCGAGTTGAGGCGCGAGGAGACAGATCCAGACATCAGATCGCTCGGCGGAGAGTATGGTACAGCGGAGATTCAGTCAGACCGACAGACAAAGACAGGCAGCGGCAGAGGCAGAGGCTACAAAAATAAACGTGTTGTTTAACGGTGGCCCCCCGAGCAGCGCGGTGCGGGTGCTGGCGCGAGGCGCAGCGCCCACAGACGGCGGCGGCCGGCGAGCGGCGCGCCGCCTCCAGACGGCACCTTCGCCAGCTACACGGTCTCGTACTCCTTCTTGATGCTCTTGCTGAGACAGCAGGCCAGGATGACGCCCAGAATCTGCAGACGGGATCGAGCGTCACGAAACGGGAAGGCAAATAGTGCAAAGCGAGATTCAAAACACATTGGACAAGATACGAAACGATAAACTTCCAAGGTACTGAAGCCAAAAGACGATTACCGACAAAAAGAATGTTTTCGAATTCACTAAATTTACTGTCCATAAAAAATACAATAAACCAATAGTACGTTCCAGTCATCTGCCATTCGAAAGCGAAGCCCTTTAACCCGGCACCGCCTGGGCTATTTCCGTACCCACATCAGCCGGGGGGGGGGGGGGTCGGATCCGACCCCCCCCCCTGTTATCTCGAGAACCAATGGTCGTATCGAGCCCCGCGAGGCGGCGTTCGAAAGGTCTCTACGAGACCTTCCCAAAGCACTCTTAAGATTTTAAGATTGAGGTCAACTTTCGGGTCAAGGTCAGGTCAAAGGTCAAATTCAGGGGTTTTGCATGATTAGGCTTACGGACAGCGGAATCGATAGCTGCTGCTCGAAACTCACCACAAATGACCTCAAAGACCTAGTGAAGGTACCATGTGCGTATAGGGGTCATACTAAGTACGGGTCAAGGTCAGGTCAGGTCACGAAAGGTCACGGTTTTCACTTTCTGCTACATGGGCGTGCGACACATGTTTTATGGCTTATTTTTGACGCCAAATCCGATGGTAATGGTTATATGTGACCCCAAGTCACTGTGCTGGTGATAAGTGTGCATTGAAAGCATAAAAAATCGTTTATACCATACATAACTAAACGAGGGCTAAGAAAAAAAGTCAATTTTTCAACTTTTTATTTTTGACATAAAAATGCACTTTTCTAGACCAGCTTTGTCCCTGGAATCTAGTGGTGCCATTTGTTTTCACATGCGATGTTCAGAAGTGCCTCTAATTCGCGAAAATGCTGATGACGTCACCATGCCCTATGCATGTTGGAGCTATTTTTTACAATTTGGGGGTCAAAAATCAAGATAGAAAGTTGAAATTTGGGACATCTAATGTTCTAATAGAGCTCTATAACATATATTCCGGTTTTTTGGAAATTCTCAAAATTTTGGATTTTATTAGCTGTTTTCCAAAAAATATAGTTTTTTGAATTTTTAGGGGTGAAAAACGCATTTTATGGAAAATCCGAGATAGCCATTTTAAAGAACTCGTTGAGCTGCGTCTTTTCATGTCCTTAATTTGCAATTTGCTTAAAACCTCGATTTTTGGCGATTTTTTAAACATTTACCATTTTTTGACTGAAAACGCCATGTAGTTACATCACTAAAATCGATATATCTCAGAAATTTTTGAAAATTTTTTCTTAAAAATTGCACAGGAGACGTCAAATTGATGGGGGAGAAGGTATGCGAAGTTTCAAGTTGATAGCGCAAGCGGTTCATAAGTTATTCAAGAAAAACGGAGGGGGGGTCGGATCCGACCCCCCCCCCCCCAGGCGGTCGCGGGTTAAGAACTGAGGGAAACCCGAATAACACGTTACTCAAACTCAACACCGAAGCCTCAAGCCGCCGTCAGCTCAGCCTTCCCAATCCCCTCCCAGGCCACGGGACCTGACACCATCGTTACTACCCAGCACGCGACGTCCCCGTATCGACAAAACGACGGCAGAACGAAAGACAGCCGTCCCGGCAGGTACCGGCGACGATCAATGTTGCACGCCCCACGCCGCGGCCGTCGCGGTCGGGGTCGGGGTCACGGGAAGGTCGCGGACGTGGATGTCCGCTAATAGGTCCCGACGATCGGAAGCCGAAGTGCTCGTTCAGGGAACAGCCAATAGCGAACGGGAGTGTCACTCCGCTTGATATCCTAGCGCGTCTGAAAATATCGTCCTGCTAAGTGCTAACAGTAACCGCCTAAAATTTACACAATCGCTGCGAATTTTGCTGAAACATTACCTTTGGTACCCACACACGATCCTCACAATCCTTTTTTCTGTTCAACGCCTAGTCTTTACCCGAGTCCCGACAACCCACGGCTTTCCCCTTCAACGCTCCATCATCTCCTCCTCAATATACCCACACTTCTCCCTCACAACTCACCCTCCACTCCCCTCCTCACTCCTCACTCCTCCGTCTCACCAAAACTCTCGCGGTCTAACTATCCCCCGTCTCACCTGCAGGAAGGCGACACCGACGCCGGCACCTCCGACGGCCACTATGTTCTCCTTCATCTCCTCCTCCAGCTTGTAGAGACATCCCGCCGTGTGGATCGTCTGCGCCGCCTCAGACTGCGGCAGGACGGCCACGCCGGCACCGCAGCCGGTCGAGAAGATCAGACAGCACGTGTCGGGCACGCGGTCTCCGTCAGAGCCGAACGACGTGTTGGCCCAGTTGGTGTAGTTGGAGATACCGCAGCAGTCCAGCTGCGCGGCGGAGAGGCGAAAGGTCAGCGGTCGGTGGGGGGCATACCAAAGGTCAATGTGGTTAGTGGAGGCCCGCACTTAGGGTTAATTTGCCTGAGTTCAACCATTGTTCAACTTATTTTTCTCGGTCTCACTTTATATTTAACATTTAATCAACAAGTGAAAACTAAGAGTCAGCTCAAAGCGCCTGATTCCAAAAGTTCCAGATTAAAGGACAAGTCTCGTGTTCCACGTAGCTTGCTAGATGTCCACACATAGAAACACACATACCCTAATCCAGCCCCAACGAAAGGATGAGGCCAGATGATACGACAAAACGCAACGAAGTACGTTATGACGTCTATGATTGACCACGCTGTGGACATTTCATTTTCTTCCCAAATGGTGTGGACTCTGCTGTGTGGACATTTCCACACCAGCAAACATCCCCCATCCCCACAACCCCACCAACTGCGTTGTTTGGCCACCGAAAAGATCGATGACTTGCAAACGAGCACACTTCATAGTCAGATAGCTTCTACTGCATGGTCACCTAGCTTCTGTCTATCCTGGCCCCAGCCATTGGCCGGGTTCAAGCGACACCTGACGCAGTGGCCGTGAGGGGAGCAGTCTGGCACGCGGGGAACACTGTTCGTGACAGCGGTCATCGAATGCATAATTCTGGCCACTCACTCCCAATGAGAGCCTCCATGCATGCTGAAAGCACCTCGTGCCGAACTATAGCCCGACGCGTGCGGAATGCGCCGTGTAAATGTGTGTGGGCGGGGCATCACTAATTTATTGTCGTCGTTCAGAGTTTATAGCGGCGGCAGTGGTCAACAGGCTAGTTGAAGTCGAGTGAAGGTCAGTCGGAGAGGCGGTCGGCTGGTCCCACAGCACTATGTCTACCCAATGACAGTGTCGTGTGGTGATGGAACAAGTGACGTCAGACGGGAGGTGTGACATCACTCGCCTGGAACGTGTCCAGTCACTGCGCGCATCAGCCCACGGATGACGTCAGCATTTTAAAGCCGGCGGATCAATCGACAGCACGCCTAAGAATCAAGCATTAACGGGACGTTGAATCGTGATTAGCGGGCCGAGGTGACACGACGCGACACCGAGCCAGTGGGGTCCAGGGAAGCGGGAGGGGGAGGGGGGGGGGGGGGCGATAACGAGAAGGGTGGAGAAGAACAAACAGAACCGCGGCGGCCCCGCCGTGGTCGGCCGATAACACGCGCAGTGTGAGCCGAGCCGCGGTGTACAAGGGGTGCGCGGAGTGTTTCTCGCGCGGCGCGCGCGACGAACGCGATATAAGTGCTCGGTTTGGTGTACGGAATAACAGGACAACATCAACGGAGCGACAGGAGACGGACGCAGGATGACAGGTGGGCGCAGCGATAGGCTGCGGGGGGGGGGAAGAATCTAGGTAGAACGGCCACGAGGAGACGGGATAGGGGGGGGGGGGTGGGACCGTTCGACGGGCGCTATAGAAGTGGGCGTGACGGAGAGGGGCGGGTATCTAGCTGACCACGACACCGTGCGCCTAGAGAGGCCAGCATCTGTGGTCCCCGTCGTGCCATGGCCACGGCCGACGGGTGTGACCTGATCCGTATATGCCGTGTGAACAGGATGACCTGGCAACTGTGGTCCCCGTCGTGTCATGGCCACGGCCGACGGGTGTGACCTGATCCGTACATGCCGTGTGAACAGGATGACCTGGCAACTGTGGTCCCCGTCGTGTCATGGCCACGGCCGACGGGTGTGACCTGATCCGTATATGCCGTGTGAACAGGATGACCTGGCAACTGTGGTCCCCGTCGTGTCATGGCCACGGCCGACGGGTGTGACCTGATTCGTACATGCCGTGTGAACAGGATGGCCTGGCAACTGTGGTCCCCGTCGTGTCATGGCCACGGCCGACGGGTGTGACCTGATCCATATAGGCCGTGTGAACAGGATGACCTGGCAACTGTGGTCCCCGTCGTGTCATGGCCACGGCCGACGGGTGTGACCTGATCCGTACATGCCGTGTGAACAGGATGACCTGGCAACTGTGGTCCCCGTCGTGCCATGGCCACGGCCGACGGGTGTGACCTGATCCGTACATGCCGTGTGAACAGGATGACCTGGCAACTGTGGTCCCCGTCGTGTCATGGCCACGGCCGACGGGTGTGACCTGATCCGTACATGCCGTGTGAACAGGATGACCTGGCAACTGTGGTCCCTGTCGTGCCATGGCCACGGCCGACAGGTGTGACCTGATCCGTACATGCCGTGTGCACAGGAGGACCTGGCACTCTGTGGTCCCCGTCGTGTCATGGCCACGGCCGACGGGTGTGACCTGATCCGTACATGCCGTGTGAACAGGATGACCTGGCAACTGTGGTCCCCGTCGTGCCATGGCCACGGCCGACGGGTGTGACCTGATCCTTATATGCCGTGTGCACAGGAGGACCTGGCAACTGTGGTCCCCGTCGTGTCATGGCCACGGCCGACGGGTGTGACCTGATCCGTACATGCCGTGTGAACAGGATGACCTGGCAACTGTGGTCCCCGTCGTGTCATGGCCACGGCCGACGGGTGTGACCTGATCCGTATATGCCGTGTGCACAGGAGGACCTGGCACTCTGTGGTCCCCGTCGTGTCATGGCCACGGCCGACGGGTGTGACCTGATCCGTACATGCCGTGTGAACAGGATGACCTGGCAACTGTGGTCCCCGTCGTGTCATGGCCACGGCCGACGGGTGTGACCTGATCCGTACATGCCGTGTGAACAGGATGACCTGGCAACTGTGGTCCCCGTCGTGCCATGGCCACTGCCGACGGGTGTGACCTGATCCGTATATGCCGTGTGAACAGGATGACCTGGCAACTGTGGTCCCCGTCGTGTCATGGCCACGGCCGACGGGTGTGACCTGATCCGTACATGCCGTGTGAACAGGATGACCTGGCAACTGTGGTCCCCGTCGTGTCATGGCCACGGCCGACGGGTGTGACCTGATCCGTACATGCCGTGTGAACAGGATGACCTGGCAACTGTGGTCCCCGTCGTGTCATGGCCACGGCCGACGGGTGTGACCTGATTCGTACATGCCGTGTGAACAGGATGACCTGGCAACTGTGGTCCCCGTCGTGCCATGGCCACGGCCGACGGGTGTGACCTGATCCGTATATGCCGCGTGCACAGGAGGACCTGGCAACTGTGGTCCCCGTCGTGTCATGGCCACGGCCGACGGGTGTGACCTGATTCGTACATGCCGTGTGCACAGGAGGACCTGGCAACTGTGGTCCCCGTCGAGCCATATCTGGCCCGACGACGGGTATGACCTGACACGTGACGTAACTCGCGAGTTTTACCCGGCAGGTAATGGTGCGAACTGATCCAGAACAGGCGGGCACGTGTAGGAGAGGGGCGGGTAGCTAGTGGCCTCCATCGGGGCGCGGCGGCATTGGGTGAGACGGCAATTTAGTGGTGTCAATCGTAGCTTGAATCTGTGGATTTCCGATTTGTCTAATGTCCAATTCGGAATTCGGTTGGAGAATGACGCAGGCTTTGGACACCTTTGGACAATCATTGCTACACCTCAGCATTTTTATAAAGCAATCGTGGTTAATTATTAACACTGATTGGCGAATAGAAGTTCAGCCTTTGAGATGATTAACACATTAAAGCTGCTAAAAATACATTAAAAAAAATAGATAACAGTGTTAAGTGTAAACTATTGCGTAGGTTTCGGACATCTTTGGACAAATGGCTGGCTTAAACATTTTGGACGGAAATCGACGTAAGCATTGGAATTGGACGGACATTGGACATACATTTTCTGAAACTAACACCACTAGACGGCATACGCCGAGGTGATAAAGACGAGGCGCCGTCAGCGAGGTGTTGTCGCGGCTGAGCAATATTGGAGCTTACGACCGGTCGGGACGATAGCGGAGGGTGGGAGAGCAGAGAGGGAGAGTTTGAGGGCACGCAGCTGCGCGCTAAGACAAACAGGTCGGCCGTGGCGAGGCCCAGGGAGGGGAGATGGGGCGTTGGGAGCGGTCTCCAGCAGCGGCTGGGTTCTGGGGAGGGGCCGGTCATAACGGAGGGTGGGGGTGGGGGGGGGGGGGGGGGAGGGAGATACACTTGGTTGGACATGTGCATCGGGTAGATCGAAATAGTCAGTGTCACTCTGCGGTGCAGTGATGGATTCCAGACTGGGTGTGTGCGCAGAATAGACCGCCCCAGTCAGTGTCACGCCGCCGTGCAGAGATGCATTGTATGTCGGCTAGCCGGGTGCCCCGGGCGCCCCGATTTCGGCTGGCTTTGAGCGCCAGGCGGATTGATATGGTGAGTGTCACGCTGACGTGCCGCGGTGGTTCCCGGCTGGCTGTGTCGACTGCGGTCTTTCCCCAGGGCACGTATCAGCAAGAAGGCTCATGTTAGACCGTTTCCAACGCTAAGTCGGAATGTAACGGCACAACTGCAGGTCGTCACTGTCCCGTCGCGGCGGCGGCCGCCGCTTGCGATACTGATGGGTCGGACTTTCGAATGAGCCTGATCCGTACACCTATCATATCCCTCGCCCGTGTGCGGCGTTCTGTTGCGTCTAGCGTGTGGGGAGGGGGTCAGTTGGACCCCCCCCCCTCCCCCTGCCGTCCGGCTCCTGATTGGGCTGGAATGCCCAGGTCATCAGACCAGTTTCGGTCGCCAATGGGACGTCATTAAGCTCCGCCAAAGCGAGCCTCAAGGACGTCACCCCAAACGGCCGACTCGTTTCGTCTCGTCTCGGCCGGCGCCGGCTCCCCCCCCCCCCCCCAGCAAGACAGTGAACGCGACGGTTAGTGTATGTAGGTTGGACCACCGGCTGGAATGACTGGATCCGGTTATACTCTGACCACGTGGTGTGGGCGTCACATTTCTGTTGGCTTAGACCCGGCGTCGGCAAGGCGGTCTAGATGACATTAACAGGGTCAACATGTCGCCAACTGGTCGGTGCGTGTGCATGTCATCGCGGCCTCGGTATGGTAT